TCAATCCACCCAGCCAAACTGGCTAGGGCTATGCACCTTTTTAAAAAGAGAGAACAAGTTGTTTTTATATGGTCCACTAGAGATTTTTAAAGGATAAATTTCTACATTCCGTAATTAACAAACTTATTCATTCTCACTACAGATCTAAAATACCTCCTTTTATTGTCACTACACTGTCACAATGTCAAAAGGATATTTCCTCGCATGGTGCTAGTGAGTCATCTGTAATTTTAAGAACATGAGGAGGGAGAAGTTTTCTGTAATAAAGAGTGGGTGAAGAATTTGAATGCATAGCTGAATGGTACAAAGTCAACCCAAGCTATGAAAAGTAACTTGCGAAAAAAAATCCCATAAAGTGGGGAGGGGGGAGGTGAGTTCACAAGTTCAAATGTGCCTTGCCACACAACCACAGTACATAAGCAAATAAAAGAGATCGAACCCTGAATGCTGTTCTGAAGAACTGGACGGGAGCTCACCTGGCATGGGGAATTCTATGACGGCATTCTGATAGCACTCTTTTTCCTTTGTTCTTACTTTGGACTTCCGAAGGCTTAAAACATCTGAGGGTCTGGAAAGTCCCTAATGCTTCCATGCACCAGTAGTGCTCATGAAATGGTTGCTACGATTTCTTCAGTTGCTACTACAGTGTCACTGATCATGAATTAAACTACTTTAACAATTTCAGTAAAATTTTTAACATTATGTAATTTGCACACTTTAAACTGGAGCAAAGAAGATAAAAATATGTGGGCATGTGCCATCTGGAAATACACCATCAGCAGTGACAATTCCATAAGCTCACTGAAAAATTGTCTTTGTAGAAGATGGCAGAGAGCTTAGCGTCATTTGTATTTCTTACACAATACATTCCATATATGCTGCATATATGTAATTTAATCAAATGTATAAAAGAAAAGAGATTCTGCAACCATTGTTATAGTAGTATTGCTTTGTTTATTCTAGCTAGTATTAAGAAAGAAACTAGAAACTGTGTATTGAAAAGAATGACACCTTCATTATTGTACTTGAGAAAAATCTTAGGAAAGTCACTGTCCTAACTGAGGTTTGCATACTCCAACTCACTCAGGCAATACAATTCACATCCTCCATACCAGCAATAGTGGGAAATATCATTCTAAGAAGCATTTTCTCTAGTGACATTTTCACAATTAGACTCTATAGCTATGCCAGTGTGTTGCATTGTTTTAATGATCACTCTCCCAATCTCAGGTATTCAAGCCACTAAAATAAAATTAGTCATCAAATATCAAAAGAAAAATTTATTATGTTTGAAAGGTTATTATTTTGCTAAGCATTCAAACCTTAACCATAGCAAACACATTCAGAATTTAAGATTATTCCTTCATATAAAATAATACAATTATGAAAGAAAATGTAAGACTAGAAAACTGTATAGGCAACTAGAGAAAGTTTTAAAATATGAAAGTGAAAAATAGTGAAATATCAAACACATAACTCAGACAGGTATCCTAAATATACCACGTTGGTTATAAAGGACTTGTCAGAAGTTCCATTTGCATTGCTTTGAATGACTTACATTTGAAGACTCAGTTGATGTCAGCTCAATGTGAAAGCAATGGAAGTGTCTTACCTTGGAGAAAACTCCTTCCTGATAACAATATTTTTCTTATCAGGTTGTTCTACTTGCTCACTGTGATTTGTCCCAAAATGCCAAAATACTTTTCCTTCCTCACACAATGTGCATTTGAAGATAAGGATAGAAGATGTTAATGGCAAGTTTCAATGTGAACCTAACAAGGTTTATAAGGGTTACATCTTCACAAGAATCTGGCTGACTGAGTCATTTCATCAAAGTTGGTCTTTCACACCCAGGTTTAAGACAGTTCTTTTCAGTATTAAAAAAGGGTTTGCATAATTTTGTCTTTCATCTGCCTTTATATCCTTGACTAAAGGACCAGTACATGAAAATTTGTGCACTAGTAGCAAGGTGGGTGGGGGGGGGGGGAAGGGGAGGGGTAATTCCTCAGCCCAGCCTGCATCCTCACACAGTCTGGGACTCCTCAGGGGATGACCCCCTGCAGGCTTAGGCCTGCTCCTGGGGGAAACGGGCCTAAGCTGGCAGCCAGACATCCCTCTGGCAGCCTGGGAGGCCTCAGGGGATGTCTGACTAACAGCTTAGGCTGGCTCCCGCTGCCTAAGCCATTAGTTGGAATCCTTAGTGCTGCTGAGAAGGCGGGAAAGGCTCCCACCACTGCTGCTACACTCGCAGCCTTCAGCCCAGCTTGTGGCTCAGTGGAACTCCCTCTGTGGGAGTGCACTGACCACCAAGGGGCAGCTCCTGCATGGTGGTCAGTACACGTCATAGAGACTGGTCATTCCTGGTCAATTTGTATATTACCCTTTTATTATATAGGATTATAAATCACTCATTATGAATTAATAATTTTATTTTAGGGCATCCTCTCAAGATAACAAATGTTATCAGTGTGAAACTTTCCTTTAAGTAGGAATGGGGAACCGTTTTTTTGCCAAGGGCCATTTGAATATTTTTTAACATCATTTGCATCATACAAAATTATCAACCTAAAAATTAGCCTGCTACCTAGTCAAACATTTAATTAACTCACCTCCTCATGCCTTTCCCATGACCAGACCAAATGGTTTATCGGGCCTTTCGCAGCCCATAGCCTGAGCATTCCCCACCCCTGATTTAAATGGAAATATTATTAGATTATCTGATTTTCACATGAAGAATCTCTGCTTTTGTCAAACTGCATTAGTTTGGTCTTTATCAAGATATTCATTTGAAAAAGAAAAAAAATTCATTTGTTGTTTTACAAGTAAGGATATAGCATATAAGCTGTAGCTTTAAGAATTTTTAGAAGGCCTTTACTACTGGAGAGATGGGGGCTGGGTGTCTTAGAGTAGCAAAAGGCCTTCTGGGGATTAATCCCCCTAACCCATAATTTGAACAGACTGAATATATCCAATGTCTACAGATAAACTAACACATTCTATGGGGTGAATAAATTTCTGTCTAGAACATAGCAATAACAAAGTACTTTTCAATAAGTTAAAATGTTTAAATAATTTAATTATCTGCATTTTTATTTTTCTCATACAAATAAACTCCTCCTAGTATATTTAATTTGGGCTTTAGCATTTCAGGTGAGATATTAAATTATATTCCAAAGGACTGGTCTTGTCTAATAAAAGGGTAATATGCAAATTGACCATTACTCCAACACACAAGATGACTGCCCCCATGTGGACAAAAGATGGCCACCACAAGATGTCCAGCAGGGGAGGGTACTTGGGGGGGGGGGACCCAGGCCTGCAGGGGAGGGCAGTTGGGGGGAACCAGGCATGCAGGGGAGAGCAGTTAAGGGAGATTATGCTTGCAGGGGAGGGCAGTTGGAGTGAGCCAGGCCTACAGGGGAGGACAGTTAGGGGTGACCATGCCTGCAGAGGAGGACTGTTAGGAGCAATTGGGTTGGCAGGGGAGCAGTTAGGTGTCGATCAGGCTGTCAGGGTAGTAGTTAGGGGGTGATCAGATCAGGCTGGCAGGGAGACAAGCAGTTGGGAGCCAGCAGTCCTGGATTGTGAGAAAGATGTCCAACTGACCGTTCAGGCACTGATTTAGGCAGTAAGGCATCACTCAAGGGGTCCCAGATTGGAGACAGTGCAGGCTGGGCTGAGGGACCCACCCCCTCCCGTCTCCCCCCTCCCTTGTGCACAAATTTTGGACATTGGGCCTCTAGATTAATTATATAGTGAAACTTTTCTTATAATTTGAAAGGCAATTATGAAATGGATAATCTCTTATCTACTAAGATTTGGCAATAAGTAATGTTAAATAGGGAAAAATAAAATCTTTGGAAAATAATTATCTTTTCCTTTAATGTAAAATGGGTAAGCACTTGTTAAAAAGTGTGTTACACTTAAACCAGCTATATCTTGAAACTTAAAAGAAAAAACACACACACACACACACACACAAACACAATGCTAGTCATCCTTTTGTGAGGGTTTGTGTGTTTTTTTTTCTTTAAGCTCTGAAACTATAGCAATGAGAAGTGATTTATAAAACTGTCTCAAATCCACATATTAAAATTGACAAACTTATGCATTTGACAAAGGCTAATTTCATGTTATTAAGAACTGTGTCAACAACAAACAGAGCCTAGTGTATTTTAAGGTCCACGTCCAACTAAAATATTTCATTTGTTTAATTACAATCTTTGTGCCTTATCCTTCTACCAAGAGTTCAAAAATATATTGTGTCAGATGAAAAAGATAAAAAATGTTGCAATTCAAAATCAATACAATAAACATTTTTTATTTTATCTTTTCTGTAGTGAAATAATAGTCTTAATAAAAGATTGGTGAAATAATAGTCTTAATAAAAGATTGGATGCCTAATACAAGATACTTATTTCAAGCATGGATACAGAAAAAGGAGGCATTAAAATATCATTACACGTTCTTCAGAATACTATATTTTTGTTAATTCTTATCAATATAAATATATTTTTACAAAAAATTAAATATTTTTAAAAATTGGAGTTTATATAGCAATGTTCCAGAAATTAACTGATTTATTTATAACAAGAGTTAGAAGTTGAAAACACTGTGGCATCATAGTTTGCTCCATAAGAAATTAATAATAATATTTTTGAAGCCTTTATAATGTGATAACTCCAGGATTTTCGAGTACCGAAAACATACAATTTTATACTAAATATGATCCTGGGGTAGAAATGTTTAGTTCATTAAATTAGCTGCCTATAACTTAAATTTGTTATTAGGTATCTGTGGTGGTGTTTTGGGGACAGCTTCTCCGTCAGTTATGATGTATTTATTTCTCACGTATGTGCATAAACACATGCAAACATGTTTTACTTCTTAAACAGAAGGGTACTTAAGACTGTGCTAATTCAGCCTGTGTTGGTGCTACAACCATCCAGGGTATGCAGTAGGCAATTCACAGCGAAACATGCCTGATAAAAAACACTCACTTTTTTGTTGATGTAGTACGGGTCCAGGTCCTCCAAAGGTTCTGACACCATCCCTGGAGGGATGTCTCCATAAATAAAAGGAAGGTTCCTTCCAGCTTCCAAGTCACTGTTTGGCTTTGGGCCATTTTCATCGTCATCTTTCTTGTCTGGTTTGGGATTCTTGGCTTTTTCTTCTGCAATGCGCCTCTCAATAGCCGCAAGAGATTCTCTGGTGAAGAAGTTGAAGCTGTCAGGTCCTGGTGGTACAAGCACTGTTTGCTCCATCTTGTCATCCTGCACATTTTAATTACCATTTACTCCACATATGAAAGTCCTAAAAAAAAAAAAAAAATGCTGATATTTAAAGGAGATTAAAAGAAGACTTAATAGCTATAAACTCTTACATTAAACACTAGAGTATTGAAATTGTTTCCAATGTAATTGTTAAATGTGAATCTTTTTGTAGTAAGAACATTTAATGTTAGATCTACCATTTTAACAAAGTTTTTAAGTGTGTAAGACAGTATTGTTAACCATAGGCATGAAATCGTACAGCAGACTTTTAGCACTTATTTCAGTTACTTCAGGAGTGAAAAAAAATCACTAATTGGACTTAAATGAGTTTTTTCTTCAGCAAACCCTAATATACTAGAGCAGTGGTCAGCAAACTGTGGCTTGCGAGCCACTTGTGGCTCTTTGGACTCTTGAGTGTGGCTCTTCCACAAAATACCACTGCCTAGGTGTGTTTATTTTGAAGAAGTGGCATTACAAATGTTTAAGTTTAAAAATTTGGCTCTCAAAAGAAATTTGAATTCTTGTACTATTGACATCTGGCTCTGCTGAATAGTGAGTTTGCCGACAACTGTACCAGAGTCTTTGATATAAACTGGAACAGATGTAGACCTGAATAGAAACTCGCCATTTTTCTCTCCCACAGGACCTGGTAACTGCCATTCTACTCTTTGCTTCTATGACCATGGCTTAACAGACATGATTTCTATCTAGGGTTTTATTAAGTGTACTAACCTTGTTTATTCAGTCTTATGCTTTGCAGAGTCAGGAACGGTGCCATAAATTAAGAAAGTCATTCAAGTCTAGCCTTAATTGAAGTACATTTGGCTAAATACCACCATGTCCCTAATGGGCTGTTCACTCCATAAGATGCAGAAATGAGGATGCCCCATGGAGACAATGGGTGAAGTGGAAAGGGAGTTGTCTCTGAGAGGATATAAAACCCAACCTTCTAGAGCAGTGGTTCTAAACCTATCTAATGCCACGACCCTTTATGGGTCCATAAAATTATTTTTGTTAGTATTTCATAACTGTAATTTTGCTACTGTTATGAGTCATAATGTAAATATCTGTGTTTTCCGAGGGTCTTAGGCAACCCTGCTAGTGGTTCTCAACCTGTGGGTCTCGACCCACAGGTTGAGAACCGCTGCTGTAGAGCCTAAGACCATCGGAAAGGTAGTCAGAACACTTTGCTAGAGCCAGCCTTAATGACCAATGAGGCTGTTCTGATTGGGTCTCCATCTATTCTGAGATGTGAGACAACTAAAACTACGATCTGGTCATGTCATTAGCCATGTTGAGCTTGTCATACTTGAACACAAACAGAAAGAGACAACTAAAGACTGGACAAATGCCTTTTATATGACCAAGAATGACAGGAGGACTAAATAGAAAGAAAGTACTAGCATGGGTCATGGTGGAAGATAACTAAAGATGCTGGAGACAGCTGGGTTCTCCTATTTCAGGGGGAGGAAATGACCAGAAAGAAGACAGGATACCACAAGCTCAATAGGAACTGCACTATTTTTCTTCACTAAAGCAATAATAATTTCTTGCTGATACTATAGTCCTATAGTGCTATAGTCCTATTATGAGAACCTGAGGCAAAACTCTCAACTCCAGATAGCAGAGTCAGACTTGATCTGATGCCAGAGGCCAAATCCCAAATGTATTATTTTCAGGCATATTTAATATGAGCTCAAATTTCACAGGTATTATTGAGCCAAAACTTCCCAGAGCCTATGCTACTGCTTGGCCACAAGGTTTATTTGGATACTGCATTAACTCATTAAAGTCAGCAAGCTATGATACAGTTAGTTGCATCTTTTTTTAATATAAGGAATCGCAATAAAATTGTAGCTGTAACTGATCTTTGACAAAGGGACAAAGGCAATATAAAAGAGCAAACATAGCCTTCTCCAAAAAATAGGGCTGGACAAAATGGACCTCCACATGATTTTATATATATACTAGAGCCCAATGCACAAAATTCATGCAAGGGCCTTGGCCCTGGCTCCTGCCCACCTCCGCCACGGCCAAGGGCCACTGCTGCCTCTGCCACAGCCCTCGCCCACTGCGGCTTTGTCCAAAGGAAGGACATCAGAAGGACGTCTGGTCTAATTAGCATATAATGCTTTTATTATTATTGAATACACACACACACACACACACACACACACATGTAGACACAGTTCCTATCACTTTACAAAATTTAACTCAAAATTGATCACAGATCTAAAGGTAAATTTTAGAACTATGAAACTCCTACAAAATAAATTAGGATAAAATTCAAATGATCTTTGGTTTGGCAATGACTTTTTAATGAACACTAAGAGCACAATCTATTAAAGGAATAATTGATAAGCTAGACTTAATTAAAACTAAAAACCTCTGCTCTGTGAATGACAATATCAACTAAACAAAAAGGCAATCCACAGAAAATATTTGCAAAACCAAAGTTGATAAAGGACTCAAATATACAAAGAACCAAAATATACAAAGAACTCTTTTTTAAAATATATATATTGACATATATATATTTTATTAATTTTTTTACAGAGAGGAAGAAGAGGGATAGAGAGTTAGAAACATCGATCAGCTGCCTCCTATACACACCCTACTGGGGATGTGTTGGCAACCTAGGTACCTGCCCTTTATCGGAATTGAACCAGGGACCTTTCAGTCTGCAGGCCGATGCTCTATCCACTGAGCCAAACTGGTTAGGGCCAAAATATACAAATAACTCTTAAAGTACAACAATAATAAAACAAAGAAATTAATTTAAAAACCAGGCCAAAGCCCTAAAAAATACCTCATCAAAGAAGACAGATGTTAAATAAATATATGAAAAGATGCTCCACATCATATGTCATCAGGGAAAAGCAAATTAAAACAACTACATACCTAATAAAATGGCCAAAATCCAGAACACTGACACCACCACATGCTGACAGGGGTGTGGCTCATTCGCTGTTACTGGGAATGCAATACCAACACTGAATGCTAGTCACTATTGAAGACAGTGTGGTATTTTCTTACAAATGAAAACTTACTCTTACCATACCATCCAGCAATTGCCCTCCTTGATATTTACCCAAATGAGCTGAAGACTTATGTCCTAAAAAACCTGCACATTGATGTTTATAGCAGTTGCATTCAAAATTGCCATAATTAGAAGCAACCAAGATGTCCTTCAGTAGATGCATGGATACAGGCAAAGGAATATTATTTAGTGCTAAAAAGGAATGAGCTATCAAGCTATGAGCCACATGGAGGAAAACAAATGCATATTCCTAAGTGGAAGAAGTCAATCAATCTGGAAAGGATGCATACAGTCTGATTCCAACTCTATGACATTCGGAAAAAGGCAAACCTATGAAGACAATAAAAAGATCAGTGGTTGCCAGGGCTTGGGGAAGGGAAGGATGAATAGCAAAGGCACAGAGGACTTTTAGAGTAGTGAAATTTTTCTGTATGATACTGTAATGGTGGGTACAGGCCATTATGTATTTCTCCAAATCCATAGAACATTCAATTCCAAGAGTGAACTCTAATGTAAATTATGAACTTTGAGTGATAATGAAGTGTCATTGTAGGTTCTTTGATATAACAAATGTGACATTCTGGAGTGCTGTGGATGGTGGATGGTACTTTTGTGGGGCTGGGCATGTATAGGAACTCTAACTCCTACTCATTTTTGCTATGAACCAAAAGAAGGCTATTTAAAGGGGGAAAATACATTTGATGAAAATTTTATGAAAAAAATGTGTGTGTGTGTTTTTAAGTTTTGAATAAACTAAAAAGAAATATAAATGGATGAAAAGGAACATCTTATTCTTGGATAAAAATACAATATAATAAAGATATGAAACTTTCCTAAATTGATGAATGATTTAATATGGCCCCTACAAAAATAGCAAAATATTTAGAACTATACAAACTTATTTGAAATTTCATAGGGAAAATCAACCAAACAAAAATAACCAGAAAATTCTTAAAATAAACTCTGACTTAAAATTCCTCTTTATTGTAGAAGCCATGGTAAATCAAAGTGTTTAAAATTTCCAAAAAATAAATTAATATATTTTTCAATGATTTATTTAAGTTTAGTTTTATCACATTATAATGTAATAATATAATTTATACCATTTCTATTTGTAGAATTTATTTAATTTTCTTTTTGTCCTAATTGAGGTTGATTTAAAAAAAATAATTTTATTGATTTTTTACAGAGAGGAAGAGAGAAGGATAGAGAGTTAGAAGCATTGATGAGAGAGAATCATCAATCAGCTGCCTCTTGCAGCCCCCCCCACTAGCTATGTGCCCGCAACCAAGGTACATGCCCTTGACCAGAATTAACTCAGGACCTTTCAGTCCACAGGCCAACGCTCTATCCACTGAGCCAAACCAGTTTTGGCTTGAGGTTGTTTTTTAAATGATTTCCCAGAACACAGAAAATAAGATTATTATTTGTCTTAAAAATATAGAGTTTAATATATTTCAATTCAACTTACCTTTTCTTTTCTTTTTGATTGGGATAATTTGTTGGTTCTTATTTTTTTTTTTAAAGACTATATAAATCTTCCTATTTATTTATTTATTTATTTTTAGATTCTTTATTGTTTAAAGTATTATACACATTACTACATATGTCTCCTTTTTTCCTCAGTGACCTCTCCCCAGTTACCAACACCCTCCAACATATACCTTAATCCCCCTCGTGTCTGTGTCCATTAATTTATCCTTTTTCTTATCTTACTCAGAGATTCTATATCTGTACATATTTTTATTCTAATTGATTTATTATGAGTTAAAATAGGTGAATTCAAGTCTATTTTTAATGTGTTCCTATTTATTTTCATAGTTTCTACACTTTTTGTTTTATAAATGTGAATGCTATGTTATCTGGAATGTAGATATTGCTTATGATTCAATCTTTGGAATAAATTAAACCTTTTACTACCTTACATAGTCCTTGTATCACTTTTTGTAATTTCTTTCCTCTAAAGACAACTCTGCCTATTACCATAAAATGACTTCTAC